AAAAAAAAAAAAAAAAAAAAACACTGTACACATGCATAGATCCCCCAGAACGGAGAGCTTAGGAAGGGCATGTTGTGTGTTGTCGCGATTCATATACACACGACTCCAGTCACTCCACAAAAAAAAAAAAAGCGTGACTGTGCCAGACTGTTTCGTCGTGGAACTGATCAAGTTCCTCGTTCCACTACGGAACAGAGCGCTCGGTAATTACTACCGTATCTGGACTTGACGTTGGACCAAACACAGCTATATAATGACCGGCGGACGTTCTATTCCGATGAAGACGGTAGCATCGCCTTGTTGATAGTTAGTTGCCACTGAATCTGAACGGAGGGAAAGCTACGTGTGACATGAGTTTTGGCGGGAAAGTTTAGCTACGTGTGACATGAGCTTTGGCGGGAAAGTTGAGCCACGTGTGACATGAGTTTTGGCGGGAAAGTTGCTTCCTTGTACTGTGTTTTCGATGGATTCTCACAGATCCAACCCGCGCTCTGTAACTTTGCCCCTCAGTTTGGCGGCCGTAGCTCTCGTCTTTTTCCTTTTGTGAATCTTTTTGTGAAGGGCGTAGCACTGCCATCATCATGGTAGTGACCTTCTTACTGACCTTATTTAGTCGGACTCGAACTCTGACGCTCCAATAGAGATGGCATACAGTGAAGGGCGTAGGACTCAAACCCAGGATCTGTTGACACAGATTTGTGAGCAGTAGATCTCATGATGAGGAATGGAACCCCGTAGCGCTGCCATACGACGAAGGGCATAGGACTCGAACCCAGGATCTGTTGACACAGATTTGTGAGTCGTAGATCTCATGATGAGGAATGGAGGAGGTCTGAACTCTGACGACGCTCCAATAGAAAACGCCCCCTGACACAGGAGAGAGAAGTAGCCAAGGATAGAAGGAATAGCTTCTTCCATATACCTTTCTTTCTCGGGCTTTTTTTTTTTTTCCCTCGGGCTTTGGCTAAGATGAAAACTACTATCTGTTCCTATCAGTTTAATACCTGATCCGCGGCCCATAGCACCACATTAAAAAAATGAACTATAGAAGGAAACGTAGAGAAACTCCAGAAAATCTATAGTTGTAGCTGCCAACCCTCTAGAAGGAAACGTAGAGAAACTCCAGAAAATCTATAGTTGTAGCTGCCAACCCTCTAGAAGGAAACGTAGAGAAACTCCAGAAAATCTGTAGTTCTAGAGGGTTGGCAGCTACCTCCTTCTTTCGGGGTAGGTGACTCTAGAACTCTCTGAGAATGACGGAAAGGCAATTGCGTCATGTAACCAGTGTTAAGAAACAGCTTACTTTTCTGTTTTTGGTCGTTTTTTTTGGCTCGATTTTACGTAGTACAGAAGCCTTGGGATGCACAGCTATCTACGGCTTCCTTGTGTCGCATAGGCCTTTCCCGCTCAACTTACGTGCGGTGCTGGCAACTACAACAACGCGTTGCTAGTGGAACGAGGGCCGCCCGGGAGGTTGAACCCCGACAGTCTGCCCAGGATGCATTTGACTGATGGATAAGGACTCACCATGTCGCCCAGAGTTTAGTGGTGCCCCTGAGAAAAGTGATAGACTTAACTCACACCAACCCTGCAATCCTTGCAGATTGTCTGTCCAAACCCCTGACAACAATGACAGTAAGTGTGTTGGTGTTTGTGTGTTTGTGTGTTTGTGTGTGTGTGTGTG